TACTTACTTCCTCAGGCGATCCCTTATTGTCTGAGTATGATAGCCTTCCAAGTGTAGTGTCGTGGCAGTGAATACGTAGGTGACTGTGGAACTATATTCTTGACCCGCATGTTCATCCACAGTGAGGACATCGGTTTTCAGGTGGAAGGTGGTCCTGGACAAACCTCCTTCCTCTTGGGACATTTTTCTCTTTTGCCCTCCTTTTTGCCTCTTTGAATTTCACAGCACTCCTGGTCACAGCTGACTTCCAGTTAGAGTGCTAAAGGGCCAGGGCTTCCCAGTTCTCGGTGTCTATGCCACAGTTTTTAAGGTTAGCTTTAAACCCATCTGTAAATTTCTTTTCCTGTCCACCGACATTCCATTTTCCATTCTTCAGTATCGCAACTGCTTTGGGAGACGGTGATCTTTGGACATTCGGACAGTGTGGCCAGTCCAGCAGAGTTGATGACGTAGGAGCATTGCTTCAGTGCTGGTTGTCTTGGCTTCTTCCAGCATGCTGACATTTGTCTGCCTGCCTTCCCAAGAGATTTGCAGGATTTTTTGGAGGCAACACTGATGGAATCATTCCAGGAGACAAGTGTGACATCTTTAGACAGTCCACGTTTTGCAAGCGTATAACAGGGTTGGGAGGACAATAGCTTTATAAACAAGCATCTTGGCATCCCTACAGATGTCCCAATCCTCAAACACTCTCTTCTTCATTTGCAAGAATGCTGCACTCGCAGAGCTCAGGTGGTTTTGTATTTCAGTGTCAATGTTAACACTGTATATGCATCTCTGTATACGAACCCACACGATCTCTTCGATCATCTGGAGAGGCCCTGCTCGCAATCCCACCTGCATCGCAGGCGCGATTGGTGGGGATGAGAGGGCCTTTTCGGTGGTGGCCCTCATCTCTGGAACTCACTTCCTAAGGACATCAGGCAGGCCCCAACTCTGGCAGTCTTTAGGAGGAGCTTGAAGACGTGGTTGTTCCAGTGTGCCTTCCCAGAATAATGATCCCATAGCACTTTGTCCTCCAAAGCACTTTACATTTTTAGGTCTGCTTGTATGTTTTCCACAAACGCCCCATCACTTTTTCACCCTTGTTCCAGCATTACTTTTAATTTTAATTTTACATTTGGCCTTCCAACAGTTTTAATTGTGTGTTGTCTTAGTGTTAATGCTTCATTATTTTGTTGTCCATGTTTTATTTTAATTGCTTGCATTGTTGTATTTGGGCTCGGCCTCATGTAAGCCGCACCGAGTCCCTTGGGGAGATGGTAGCAGGGTACAAATAAAGTGTTGTTATTATTATTATTATTATTGTTATTGTTATTGTTTTGTGTAGAAGTGGCTGCCAAGGGAGTGCTTGGCATTAAGAAGAATGTCCTAACTGTAAGAAGAGCTGTTCAACAGTGGAGATCTCTGCCTCAGAGTCTGGTGGAAACTCCTTCCTTGGAGGCTTTTAAAGAGAGGTCATCTGTCAGGGGTTCTTTGATTGTGCTTTACCTGCAGAAATAGGTTGGACTATATGACCAATGTGGTCTCTTTCCAACTCTTTTATTCTGTGATTCTACATAGAATCATAGAATCATAGAATCAAAGAGTTGGAAGAGACCTCATGGGCCATCCAGTCCAACCCTGCCAAGAAGCAGGAATATTGCATTCAAATCACCCCTGACAGATGGCCATCCAGCCTCTGTTTAAAAGCTTCCAAAGAAGGAGCCTCCACCACACTCCGGGGCAGAGAGTTCCACTGCTGAATGGCTCTCACAGTCAGGAAGTTCTTCCTCATGTTCAGATGGAATCTCCTCTCTTGTAGTTTGAAGCCATTGTTCCGCATCCTAGTCTCCAAGGAAGCAGAAAACAAGCTTGCTCCCTCCTCCCTGTGGCTTCCTCTCACATATTTATACATGGCTATCATATCTCCTCTCAGCCTTCTCTTCTTCAGGCTAAACATGCCCAGCTCCTTAAGCCGCTCCTCATAGGGCTTGTTCTCCAGACCCTTGATCATTTTAGTCGCCCTCCTCTGGAAACATTCCAGCTTGTCAATATCTCTCTTGAATTGTGGTGCCCAGAATTGGACACAATATTCCAGGTGTGGTCTAACCATAGCGGAATAGAGGGGTAGCATGACTTCCCTAGATCTAGACACTATGCTCCTATTGATGCAGGCCAAAATCCCATTGGCTTTTTTTGCCGCCACATCACATTGTTGGCTCATGTTTAACTTGTTGTCCACGAGGACTCCAAGATCTTTTTCACACGTACTGCTCTCGAGCCAGGCGTCCCCCATTTTGTATCTTTGCATTTCGTTTTTCCTGCCAAAGTGGAGTATCTTGCATTTGTCACTGTTGAACTTCATTTTGTTAGTTTTGGCCCATCTCTCTAATCTGTCAAGATCGTTTTGAATCCGGCTCCTGTCCTCTGGAGTATTGGCTATCCCTCCCAATTTGGTGTCGTCTGCAAACTTGATGATCATGCCTTCTAGCCCTTCATCTAAGTCATTAATAAAGATGTTGAACAGGACCGGGCCCAGGACGGAACCCTGCGGCACTCCGCTCGTCACTTCTTTCCAGGATGAAAAGGAGGCATTGGTGAGCACCCTCTGGGTACATGCTGTGTATCAGTTGCTAAGTCACATTGTGCAAGGCACAATTACAGGAGGTACATTCACAAGTATAGGATCGCAGAGGAATGCAACACAGTGTGGGACACACAACTACGATGCCAAATATATAGGGAAGCAGCACATTTTGGGAGAAGTATAGGATGCCCAACTGCAAGCCACAATATGCAACCACAAGGCTTGTTTTCCTTAGAAGCTTTTGGGGAAAATAACAAAGAGAGATAGATCAAGCTGGTTTGCTTTCGCCCTCAGGCCTTTACCAATAAAATGCAGTGTACTGTATTCCTCTCTGTTGTCTTTGATTCTCTTCCTCGAAAGGGAATGAGGTGCTTTTTGCCCTTGGCTCACAGCAGCTTCTATAAATCTCCTGCTTTCAGGAAGATCCTCAAAACCAGTTGGATTAGAAACCCGAGGCAAGAGCTCAGAGAGGAAAGACAAACCTTTTCTTGAAAAGATCTCTCCTAGACGCTGCATCATAAAGATTTCAGCAGAGAGAGACAAGTTATTTTTGTCAATGCACTGCCCTAAAAGAATCCTTCATCATTACTATCGTGCAAAAGGGACAAAACCAAGGTTTTTATTTTGGGAAAGAGGAAACTCAATGCTACAGAATCCTGAGATTTGTAGTTTGGCGAGGTTCTATGACCCTTGGGTAGAGAGGGGGGAAAAACCTTCTGAAATGACAACTCCTCAGATTCCATCGCATTGAGCCATGGCAGTTAATTCTGCATTAATTCTACAGTCTCGGATTTGAAAAGAACCCCAACTGAGAATGGGGATAAAACGTTGTCGCTGGTGCTGGGAACCCGGAAGAAAATAGTCGAGGACAAAATAAATGTTGCTTGGATATTTTTTTTAAAGAAAAAGAACGAACGAAAGAGAACGACAGCTACAAATATTACAGATTCTAGCAACCTCCTCACTTAATTCCATGTTTGAAATATTCCAAATTCGGAGCGGTATTAAAACTCTGAAACAAGACCAAACGAGACCAAAGAAAGCAGTCCATTGTCATGAATATAATAGTGGTGGCATGCAGATACACCGGGGGGGAAAGATATTAGATCCCATGCTCCGGTACACAAATTTACCATTTCAAAGAAGGAAAAAAATCAGAATTCTCATGCTTTTGTACTGAAACAAGAGAGAGACAGAGAAAGGGAAAAACAGAATCAAACAGTTTCATAAAGCACTAGACCAAAAATTCTGCAGCTGTCATCCGATTAGCATAAGATCCAAACACAGCCGACGGAAAGTTCACCGATAATGAGTTAGGAAACGGCTTGCTTGAAGGGGAAAACTCATAGTCCGGTGGGTTCGCTTGTTAACATTTCCAGAAAGAAGCATGCATAAATGAGATCAATAGGTAAGACTGGTTGCAGAAAAGAGATAAATAGAAAGATAGATAGATACATAACCGAAGTGTGGTCTAAACAAAGGTCTAAATCCTACTGTTACATCTTGAATTGGATTTCCCCACCTATTTGCAATTCAGTTGGGTGCATCTACATCAGGTATGGGCAAACCCAGGCCCGTGGGCCGGATGTGGCCCCCTGGGCTCTTTTCTCAGGCTCTTTCCTCTCTCACCATCCTATCCTTCCTTTTCTCTTTCCTTCTTCCTCCTCTTCCCCCTTCCTTCCTTACCTCCCTCTTTCTCCCTCCCTCTTTTCTTCCCTTCCACCTTTTCATCCTTCTTTCCTTCCTTCTCTCTTCCCTTCCTTCCTTCTCTTTTTCCTTCCTCCTTCCCTTCCACCCTTCCTTCCTTCCCTTTTGTATTTCCTTTTGTCTTTCCCCCTCCTTACCTCCTTCCTTCTCTTCCTTACCTCCCTCTTTCTCTTTCCTCTCTTCCTCTTTCTCCTTCCATCCTTTCTTTCTCCTTTTCGTCCTTCCTTCTCTCTCCTCCCTCCCCCTCCCTTCCCCCCTCCCTTCCCCCCTTCCTTCCTTCCTTCCTTCCTTCCTTCCTTCCTTCCTTCCTTCCCTTTTGTCTTCCCTTTTGTTTTTCCTTCCTCCTTACCTTCCTCCTGGGAGCCCCCGGTGGCGCAGTGGGTTAAACCCCTGTGCCGGCAGGACTGAAGACCGACAGGTCGCAGGTTCAAATCCGGGGAGAGGCGGATGAGCTCCCTCTGTCAGCTCCAGCCCCTCATGCGGGGACATGAGAGAAGCCTCCCACAGGGGTGATAAAAACATCAAATCATCCGGGCGTCTCCTGGGCAACGTCCTTGCAGACGGCCAATTCTCTCACACCAGAAGCGACTTGCAGTTTCTCAAGTCGCTCCTGACACGACCAAAAAAAAAAAAACCTTCCTCCTTCCCTTCTTTACCTCCCTCTTTCTCCTCCCTCCCTCCCTCCCTCCCTCCCATCCTTCCCTTCCTCCCTTTCGTCCTTTCTTTCTTCTCTCTTTCCTTCCTTCCATCCATGCATCCATCACTGGGCAACCAGTCCTCTTAGCAGGGAGCGCTGGCATATAGTTCCCAAGTTAGAAAGTTTGTCCATGTCTGATCTACATTGTAGAATGAATGCCATTTGACACCGCTTTGGGTGCCATGATATGGGAATAATGAGAGTTGTTGTTTTCCAAGGCCCTCTGCCTCCCAGGACTCCATGGCATGGAGCCATGGCAGTTCAAATGACATTACTTCGACATTAACAAAGGCAGTTTGGCACCATTTTGCTATGGAAACTCTGGGAGTTGCAGTTTGCCGAGGCACCAAAAACCTCTCTACGGCCAATAAAGGTTTGGCCTGTTTTTAATGTTGGCCCCTAGCTGCCGCCGAATTGTTGAGAGTCTGGTCTGCAATGTAGAGACACCCCAACAGGTTTCAGACCCATGCAAAGAAGTGCATCAAATAATGACTGTATTGGGTTGCTGTGAGTTTTCTGGGCTGTATCAGGAGAGAAGCATTCTCTCCTGATGATTCGCCCACATGTATGGCAGGCATCCTTAGAGGTTGTGAGGTCTGTTGGAAACTAGGCAAGTGAGGTTTATATATCTGTGGAATGCCCAGGGTGGGAGAAAGAACTCTTGTCTGAGGCAAGTGTGAATGTTGCAATTGATGTGGGCGAAACATCAGGAGAGAATGCTTCTGTAACATGGCCATACAGCCTGGAAAACTCAGCCTGGACTGTATTCTCTCCCTCTCCCCGAAAGGGGTTTCTCTCTTTCCTTGGCAGGTCCATAGACAGCCCAGCATTCCATAAAAGGCCATCCAGCTGGCGGTGGATGATGGGATCTGCGACACGCAGCCCTAACACTGGCCAGGTTTTCTGAACCGCAATCTGGGGCAGCCCGCATTCATGCCATGCAGGGCTGACGCTGCTCAGAAGCTGGAAGGGAAATAATAGTTTTTCGGTTAGCTTAGCTAAGCCATGCATTGCTCTGCAGAATTCAAGCCCTTATTTCTGCCCGCATGGGTTTTGGGAGGTATGTCATTTTCATAAAGGAAATACTTTTCAGTCTTAAAAAATTATACCCCTTATAATATCTACCAGCCCTCGGAGGGGCAAACTTCCTGGTCCTAAAATAAGGGGCAGCCCTTATAATGAATAGGCCTGCTAGTCTTATTATAAGCAGGCATTCCAGCCATCCCTGGACACCAGCATAAGGCAACCACCTTTTCCTGTTTAGAATTAAAGATGTCCCAAGAGTGGCTGGCTGGATTGGCACGTGGTTACAGATGTGAATCCCAGTTTAAGGGATGCTTGCCCACTTGCCGTCCTATCTGCTTGGTTGGAGCGATTTTCCCGTTGACATGCTCTGGTAAGTGCCCAAATGGATCAGCTCAACATAGTGCAAGATGTGGTACCTAGCAAGCAAGCATAGCCCCTGCCCTCCCTTACAATAAAGGGGCCCTCACACCGCTGCAAGCCGTTGAGATTCTGCGCTAAGGTTTTTTGGGGTCCCCTCCCCACCCTGCCCTTTTGCATGCAACAACGGTGTTGGGGAAAGGCCCATTGGCCATGGTGGGTCAGGCCATTGCAGAAACATACAACCCCCTTTCCTATGTACAAGGTAAGGAAGGGAAAGCAACCATCCAAGGTGAGACGAGGGGGGCATGTGGGGGTCGAAAGAGCCATTCACAGAGGAAGTCTATTTAAACGGGAGCAAGGAAGTCAGCGGGAGCTCCTTCTCGCCCATGAGGGTGTCCCGCTTGAGGCTGCTGCCTTTGTTGACCACCTTGATTTTGAGAGACATCTTCTTCACGTTCCTGACCCCCAAGCCATCGAAGAAGAAATCCTCGTTGAAGATGGGGTTCCGGCTGTTCTTGATGATGGTGCTGCGCTGCTTCTGCACCTTGCCTGGGTTCAGGTAGAGAGCCACACAGCAGTTGATGCTCCGCGCATCGCAGTGCTTGTCATAGAGGTCTTCGGCCGTGACCACCCGGATCCGCAGGCGGGCATTGGAGGGGTTGTACTCGGCTGTGAGCCGCATGCTGCCCCCTTTGTTCAGGCTGATGATATGCTCTTTGTGGAGACGCTCTTGGGTGTCTGCCGGTGGGACGGCCTGTGACTGTGTACCACCTGCCGCACCCGCCGTCGGTGGGGTGGCAGATCGCATGCGCCGCTGTGAACTGGGGCTGGTATCAGCTGAACTGTCGTCAGTGGAGAGGGAACTGTTGCGGGCCACCGAGTGCTTCAGCTTAATGACTTTGGACTGGCTTTCTTGGCTGAAAATCTTGAGCAGGGAGACTGACCGCGAGAGCAGCGGTGAGCCGAAAGGGGATGACTCGGCCGAGGAGCAGGTGTCACTCTCCCCGCCACTGAAGTAGCGGTACGGATTCATAAGGGACATGCTGATGTCTAAGGGGTTGAGGTGGGCGCTCTCGCCATTGGTCTTGTTCCCAGCCGAGGGTGATGACCGCCGCTGGGAGCTGGGTGAGGTGGACTGCGAGGGGCAAAGGCTGGTGTGCTCACTATGAAACAGTGACTCCTTCCGCCGTGTGTGGGGGCTTTCCATCAAGGTGGCAAAGCCATAGGAGGTCTGGGCCTTTGGCACGTAGGGCAGCGACATAGCTGTCTGGGACTGGGGGTCCGCATTGGTGCTAAAGTCCTCCTCGGACATCCACTCGTCAGCGCTCTCGATCTGGATGATGTGTCGGCTGGCGGCCTTCAGGAGGTTCTTGCTCTCTGAGGCGGCCTTTGTTGGCAAGCGCGGGCTCCGTTGCGGCTTGCCGGTTGAGATGTTCTGCTCAGAGGCCGAGGTGCCCATGTGGGCCTTGGACTTTCCTTCTGCCCCCTCAACTTCGGGAGGCACAGTTGAAAGCTTGGGAGGAATGAAGAAGTCTGGGATCTTATCGGGCGTCAGGACATTGCTGTAGAGCGGGCCTTTGGACTGCTTGTCTGCCGAGTCGTTGCCCCGCGAGGCCCCGTTCTCCACCGATCCACGGATTTTCTCAAACAGCCACATATTTCCAAATTCTGCTTTCCCTCTTTGGGCTTGGGAGAGGCGTTGAGGAACCTGGGATAGAAGAATAACAATGTTTAAATCATACAACTACTTAATACGACATGATATGTCATAACACCTCATTCTACAAAGTTGAAATACATTCTGAGAAGGGTAATCCAGAAGTTAACAAGTATGGAGAAGAGAGAATCATGCAACCTATGTTCCACATGTGGTCCTGCGGGCTTCCACTGACTTTCTCAGGGCCTTTGCCCACTTCTCAAGAACTGTTTGAGAAAGTCTTTGGAATACTCTGTGCCATTCTGTAGTCTCCCACCCCCAAAGAGCAAGACTTCCACTTACAACAACATACTGAAGTAGCCCCCTTTCCATCTCAAAGTTCTCTTTGGGTGCCTTCAAGTCATTTCTAACTTGGGATGATTCCATGATGAATCTCTCCAGGGATTTCATTGGTAGGATTACTCCAAGACAGCTTGCCATTACCTTCGCCTGAAGGAGTACGGCTCAGCCAAGGATACTCATTGAGTTACATAGCTGAGTGAAGATTTGAAACGCAAACTACCCCACCATGCTGGCTCTTGACATTTTGACATATGGAGAAATCACAATGGAAAGAGGAATGTATATAAAAACGGACATGTGTCATGAATTAGAAGAATAGAGGTGTCCACATTGGAGAATTAATGCAGTTGGGCAGCACTTGAAATTCCATGGCGCCATGCTATGGAATCTTGCGATGTGTAGTTTGGGCAGAGAAGGAGAAGCCTTCGTAAAACAATATCCCATGGTGCCATGGCTGTCAAAGCATTGCTATGATACTTCATCTTGTTGATGGGAAACTTTCTACCTGAGTGGAAATCATCTATTGGACAGATGGCAAGCTATTTAACCTCAGCAGACTGAAAGCCAAAACTAAGGTCACAACAACATCTGTTATAGAACTCCAGTATGCTGATGATAACGTAGTCTGTGCACATTCAGAAGAAGACCTACAAACCACTCTAAACACCCTTGTAGAAGCATACAAGAAGCTCGGCCTCTCATTGAACATCAAGAAAACCAAAGTGCTCTTCCACCAGTCACCAGCCAATCCCTCTGCAATGCCAGAAATACAGCTTAGTGGTGTAAATGTTACAAAATGTTGACAATTTCTACTACCTTGGCAGCCGCCTCTCCACAAAAGTCAACAGTGACACTGAAATACAACACTGCCTGAGGTCTGTGAGTGCAGCATTCTTCCGAATGGAGCAGAGCGTTTGAGGATCGGAAGACCGAGGTGCTTGTTTATAAAGCTATTGTCCTCCCAACCCTGCTACATGCCTGCGAGACATGGACTGTCTATAGACATCACACTCAACTCCTGGAATGATTCCATAAGTGTTGCCTCCAAAAAATCCTGCAAATCTCTTGGGAAGACAGGCGGACAAATGTCAGCGTGCTGGAAGAAGCAAAGACCACCAGCTCTGAAGCAATGCTCCTATGCCATCCACTCCACTGGACCGGCCACATTGTCTGAATGCCTGATCACCGTCTCCCAAAGCAGTTACTATACTCCCAACTCAAGAAAGGAAAATGGAATGTTGGTGGACAGGAAAAGAGATTCAATATGAGCTTAAAGCTAACCTTAATATGTGTGGCATAGACACCAAGAACTGGGAAGCCCTGGCCCTTGGGCACTCTAGCTGGAGGTTAGCTGTGACCAGCAGTGCTGCACAATTCAAAGAGGCATGAATGAAGGGCAAAAGGGAGAAACGTGCCAAGAGGAAGGCGCATCAAGCCAACCCTGACTGGGATTGCCTTCCTCCTGGAAACCGATGTCTTCACTGTGGAACAACATGCAGGTCAAGAATAGGCCTCTACAGTTACCTATGGACCCACTGCCAAGACACTACACTTGGAAGGCCATCATACTCAGACAATGAGAGGTTGCCTATGTAAGTAAGTAAGTACAGTGTAAATCACTGGTTCACAACTATTTGGGATGCCAACATCCAGAAGCCAGCTTGTCCAATGACTGGGAATTCTGGGAGCGGATGTCTGAAACACTTGGAAAGCCACAGCACTAGTGTAGATGCTCCCATCGTAAACAATCCAAGTGGAGGAATCAACAGGCATTGACGAATGACATGGCACAGATGTTCTCCTATGGCAGAGATGTAACTCTTTGCTCCTCGCAGCTGCCATGCACAGCTTTCTTCCCTAAAAGCCTTTGCTTTAGGGCTGGCCAAAGGGCGACGTTGTTCCCCTGAAATGTGACCTGCTCCCCCTCCACTTGTAGGCATGAAACTCTCCACTGTGCCAAAGAGGCAGAATGCACAGTGCCAGCTGGAAAGCAGTGCCCGCTGAGACCCCTGGGAAACAGACACAGCTCCAACAAACGCAGCAAGGCTTTGCCTGGCAGGGCTCCTTTACCAAGGGCAATGCCACTTCGCCGGCAATCATGCTGCTCCAACTCGGAAGGCCACAGATTCCATTCAAGGCTCCCTTTGCCTCCTATCATAGGCTGTCTTTGTCTTTCGCAGCCATGTAAATCAAAGCTGCGCTCAAGGTGAAAGAAGAAAGTGAAAAAGCTGGGTTGCAGCTAAACATAAAAAAAGCAAGATTATGTCTACAAGAATGATTGACAACTGGGAAATAGAGGGAGAAAATGTGGAGGCAGTGACAGACTTTGTATTTCTAGGTGCAAAGATTACTGCAGATGCAGACTGTAGCCAGGAAATCAGGAGACGCTTACTTCTTGGGAGGAGAGCAAGGGCCAATCTCAATAAAATAGTGAAGAGTAGAGACATCACACTGGCAATGAAGATCTGCATAGTCAAAGCAATGGTATTCCCCATAGTCACCTATGGATGTGAGAGCTGGACCATAGGGAAGGCTGAGCAAAGGAAGATCGATGCTTTTGAACTGTGGTGCTGGAGGAAAGTTCTGAGAGTGCCTTGGACTGCGAGAAGATCCAACCAGTCCATACTTCAGGAAAAGCCCGATTGCTCATTGGACGGAAGGATATTAGAGACAGAGTTGAAGTACTTTGGCCACATCATGAGGAGACAGGAAAGCTTAGAGAAGACAATTATGCTGGGGAAAATGGAAGGAAAAAGGAAGAGGGGCCGACCAAACGCTAGATGGATGGATGGCATCCTTGAAGTGACTGGATTGACCTTGAAGGAGCTGGGGGTGGTGAAGGCTGACAGGGAGCTCTGGCGTGGGCTGGTCCATGAGGTCACGAAGAGTCAGAAACGACTGAATGAATGAACAACATTAATTGGTCTCTTGGTTTTTAGGCCAACTCCTGGGGTTATTTGGGGCTGCTGATTCAGAAAATGGCACTGGATAGATCACATAATCTCTGTAGTTGTGTAGATACGGCTATCATGGTTTTCTACAGCTGAGCCAATGGTGACTGGTAGATGGCATTTGTATCTTGAGAACTAGAACTGATGGGGGAACAACTGATAGGGAACTGATTCCATTTTTTGGAATCAGGCAGCCCAATATACTGCAACACAATTGGAGCAAAGAACCCTTACAATTTGTTCAGGATACTACTGCCCATCTATACAGGGCCTTAGCGACAATGACATCAATCACCCAAAACCTCTGGTGCCTGATGTCTGCCCTTTTCCACATACCAGAACCCACCTTCTGCCACTTCAGGGCAATTGATTTTATGGGCAGTTCACGTGTCCTTGCAGCATCCTGTCCTCCCTTTCAGCCATCTGCCGTGTGTTCTATGTCAGGACCTGGGGCTCATAGTTACATGACATGAGTGATCATGTCATATACCCCAAAACGGGGCTAATGTTTGAGGCACCAAAATGTGTGTTGACCTGTGTCATATCGATATGATATGGCTAACTGCTGTCTGTCCATCCATCCATCCATCCTTGGGATATTTTCAAGCTCGGAAGGCCAGCCGCACTTCCATTCCCCACTCCTCAGTTTGGATTAAGATCCCTTCTGATGTTTACCTCAATCCTATGAAACCTGGAGTTTTGATTGGAACTAATTTGGTATAGGTATATATATATATATATATATATATATATATATATATATTTCACATCATGGGTTCGGTCTCAAGGATCTCCAGTTTGGAGAACGTCCAATAACAATGTAATGCCAGTGCCCCAGAGGGATCTTTTAAGGCTGCTTTTCCTATCTTTTTCTAAGCCAGACTCATCACTCTCCTTGCTCTTTGACAAAAACATCTCCTTTGTAGGCAGGCAGGAAGTCCCAGGCTCTATAACTGAGCTGGAAAAGCTCTGCTATCCAAAAGTGGCACATAGAAAAATCCCAAGATAGATGAAAGAAGTGTGAGGCAAACGGCTTCTGTCTTCTCCTGGACCGCAACAACAGCTGAGATTTGCAATCCACGTCCCCTGACTTTTTCCTATTTTCTTTTGAGCACACCAAAATGTAACAGGAGACTGTAAACAAAAGGGGGAAGTAATCTTCTGAGATTACTGTTTTGCTCAGATTAAGCAGCAGGGAACAGCTCAAAATGGGAAAGGACCTGTAGAGAGAATATGATTGTGTTCTCTCTAAACCCAACAAACATTTCATCTTCACAACTCTATTAAACCATGTTTTCTATAGCAGTCGGCTGCCGGTGTGTCCGGCAGGTAAGCGGCTTTGCAGAGTAAGAGAAACCACCTCTTTTCCTAGGAAACATTCCCCTTGCGGCAAGATCTGACTCTCGGCATCTCAAGCCAAATTTGGGACCACCCTGTAACATGTCCAGAGACGGAAAGGCACCCTGACTCTCCCTTATCCCCAACCAAACCCTAAGGTAAGGCTGATGTATGTTGTAGTCCAAGCTCACCTGGTAGGAGAATCATAGAATCATAGAGTTGGAAGAGACCTCATGGGCCATCCAGTCTAACCCCCTGCCAAGAAGTAGGAAAATTGCATTCAAAGCACCCCTGACAGATGGCCATCCAGCCTCTGTTTAAAAGCTTCCAAAGAAGGAGCCTCCACCACACTCTGGGGCAGAGAGTTCCACTGCTGAACGGCTCTCACAGTCAGGAAGTTCTTCCTCATGTTCAGATGGA